AGAATAAAAGCAAATACAGAAAAAAATAATAAAAAACATGTTGAGTATTTCATAGAAAGAAAACATGTCATACCTGGGTTGTAAGTGTATCCTCTTTGAACTGAAAGAACAAATGGTAACGACTAGTATAATGACTTAATAGTGAATATTTTATCAGCAAATACTCCTACATGCATGCAGTGAAGTCACCAGATCTTGCTATACGGCTGCTCTGGAGTATCACACTGACCTTTCTACCCCTGGCTGCAGACAGAGACTGCAGAAATTCTTTGTTTCGTTCTCCAGACTGTTGATCAATGCAGATTATCTGACATCTGCTACACGGGCCCACAACCTGAAATTTCAATCAAAGAAGGATCACAGATATATATCAGAACAGGGCAATATTGAACAGTACCATCTTCTGACTGACTAAATAACTTAAAAACATACCTTTCATATACTTCTGCAGTGACATTTTGTGTTTTATTATGTTAGAGGTGATTCTTGTTAACCTAATGCAGAGGTGCATTTTCAAAGACTCCTTTTGGGATGTCCACACTCAGCTTTTAAATCATCCCTTTTCCCTTTTCTTTCCTTGAAAAACTTCCCACAAATAGAATCTGAGAAATACCAAAAATGTACATATTTATATTTCCTGCTGGCTTTGCTTCATCTACTGATTGGCAGGGATACTTGCCCAAATGAGAACTAAGTGTAGAATTAAGCCAAGTGTTCAGGATTTGACCAAAGGAGGATTCTCCTGGAGTTAAACTAACACTGTTTGGTTTACATTGCCTCAGTGCAGTTGAAATATGCATAACACCCCACATTCTTACTGATTTTCATGGTACTTCGTAAATGATCAGAATATAAAATATGAATTTTCACAGGTTTATAAGGTCAGGAGGAATGACTTGATCTTCTGGTCAGTGTGTAATATAGAGTATTATATAGAGTCCCCCAAATTAATTCTTGCTTGAACTTGTCTTTTTTGGTAGGAATAAGAACTGCAATGACTTTCTTCTTATCTTTTATAGCATTACAATGAAGAAGGAAGACATAGACTCATTTTACTTAATATTGYATCCCTAACTTTTGCAGCACTCTACATTATAAAAACTAACTTCTTTTACAGTATCTCAGCTCACACATTCTGCTTTTGTAAAATTTRTCATAAAATTCAAGAGGGCAAATAACTAAAACTCACATTGAGAATATTTTTATATGCAGATCTGAAGTGCCATTTGGTTCTTTAAGGTACATTTAGAACTGCATGTAAAACTCTTCAGGGCAATCATAAAAACCACACATTTGGTTCTGCTTTTTCAGAAGATTTCCCACAACTTTAATATTTTATTAAAAGAAAAAGAACACAAGGTAGAGAACATCATATTTTTCCCTTCTTTGCTTTGTCACAGTTCAACAGCTTTTTCTACCACTTTACGAGCATCAAGCACCATTAGCATCACTTATATTGTTACCACCTCAGTATCACAATAAGGACCTAGCAGAGACTTGGAAAGACAAATCAAGTTGCACATGAATAAGTCACTTTTACATTCCAGGCAACACACTTTCAAATATATTTTTCACACGATGGGACCAGAAAAACAAACTGGAACCTAATTCCCCTAGGTTTCATGCAGAGGTTTTTCATGGACTGTTTTGTGCAGGTTTCCCCCAAAAGAATTACTTTGTTAGCGAAGACTGACTCTATAGCATTTTCACAAYAGCATAAAGCACATTATAGTGTTAGAAATGATGTGCAGCATAACACACAAAAGAGCTCTACCAAGTTAGACCAAGGTCAGTTTGACCCAGAAACACATCTTGGATGGAGATTAAAAGAAAACATGAGTTAAAAGAAAACAGAGTAATATACATGGATCATTCACTTGTATTTATTTCCCAGCTCCTGGACATAGTTTGTCACATTCGCAGTTATTTGAGACTGCATCTGGACTGACATGCCTAGCAGAAACAACTATTCTCTCACAAAGTATGCTGACTAAATGTTTGCTATGGACTCTGATCAAAAACAGTGATGAATCTTCTCCTTTCTCAATGAAGTTAGGAAATGCTATGTTAATTGTAATTTWAAAAAAAAAAGTGGGAAAGGAATATGTTCAAATCTCTCAATTACATTAAAAAATGTCTGATCACAATACTTTTTTAAAAAATACATTTCATAAACTTCATCTTTTTAACTGTGCAGTCCATGTCCTATATAAAGCCTTGAAAAAATTGCTTTTTTTCCAGGAGTCAAAACACTTTTTGACAGTAAAGGACAAGAACATGAGTCCATACCTGAAACCGCAGAGAACCTACTGAAATCTCAGCCCATTCTTCTTCTTCAAAGGACTCCGGAGCGCTGATGACAAGGTTAGCACGGAAGCGTGGGATTAATTCCTGTATTTCCAATGGTTCTTCCAGTCTGTGTCACAGATTTCAGAGGGGAAAAAAAAAAAGAAAATAAGCTTTATTAAAAAAAAATAAAAAGCTTTATTAAAAAGAAGTTGAGCTTTATTAACTAGTTTTTCAGTAGATATTTGTGCTGGAAACCTAGAATTTAGTGGCTGGTTTGATTCAGCAAATGCTTCTTGTCCAGAACACTTGAGACCAAATTTTAATACAAAAGCTATGAAAAAGACACAAGGTGTCTGATTATGGCTTGTAGTACTCTAGGTGGCTTCTCCAGAGAAGCAATCATGAACTGAAAARCAGGCATGAAAGCATGTGGGATTTCAGTCATAAACAATAAGAAAATTTCCCTGTTAGCAATCGTATGCAAGGCCCAAAYAGAAACATCTTTTGGTTAAGCAATCATTTGACTTCTAGAAACATTTAAATGCTTTGAAAAGGAAAACAAGTAAAACATACTCTGCACTCACTGCAGTAGCAAAATGCACAAGAGATAGTGAAGGTGACACAGTCCAGCAAAGACATTTTGTGRGAGAATGTATCCCTTGTATTATCACTTGCCCTTGGGATGAAGGAGATTGCACCAGCTGACAGGTGTTTTGAAAAAAATTAATCTCTGTGTGGAGACATCTACACCTCCTTACAAGCACCTGAGCTGCCAGAGCATAGATTTGTGTGAATCCTGAGAACACAGATGAGGAAGCCAGAAAGGCAGACTGCATACTAATAGCAGAAAGGTGGCTGCACCTTTCAATTGTCATCTTTTACTCTTCTTCTAAGGGACTATCTTTACTGCTAGAGTAAATAGGACAGTCCTAAAATTTGCAAAGGAGATCCTATCCCCCTTTATTAATGGGTAAGAATATGGAYATGCGCAATTTTCCAGGTTCTTTCAGGTTTAGCTTAAGAACTTTTAGATATGACACTCTGCAACTTAAAGAAAAAAAAAGAAAAAAAAGCTATAGAGTGAAAAGAAAAGTTCCTGTTTTGGGGAGAAAAAGTTAAGTAGCAGGGACAAACAGTTTAAAACTGTGCTTTAAATAAAATGAGGGAAGGCATGAAAAATCAAAGCACAGGGAAACCTGTCCACATCAAGCAGTCTTGACAGAGGACTGGTATGTGAAGAACTTTTTGTTTAAAATAGTCTGGTTGATCTTTAAAAGACAAACGTGCATAGGGATAAACTGGATGTGCAAATTTTCAAGCAAACCATGCAACCCTGATTCCTCCAAAGCTTTTGGTGTTGACAGGAGCCTAGGGGTAGAAAGTGGAGGGGGAAGCTTAAGCAACAGCAATTTTCCCTAGAGATATCACAAGCAATCTCATGACTGAGACAAAATTCCTAATCACTGCAGGAGATGGAAGCCAACAGGAGGAGTTGGCTATGTTAGTTCTCTGAAAATGGAGTTAAAAATAATATTTAGTTATAAACAAGTTTAACTGTTCAGTTACAGTTTTGCATCCTTGTTTTGCTGTGGACTACGTTGAGTCCTGACAGAGGTTTGATGCTGGGCAGAGAGCTCTAAATGCATTTTGTGACACAGGAGTGCCTGCCACCACAGCTGATACACAGCGGGAGCATCAAAAGCTCCAGGAACACCACAACTGTGCTAGTGTTGTCCTGAATCAGYTGCTGGAAAGATATAGGAAAAAATCACTTCTTGGAATTTCATCCCTTTCCATTGTGGCCATGGAGGACAGCACTGCTCACACTCCTACTCTCTCTGCCTTCCATGCATCCAAGCTCTTCAAAACATCTCAGCTTCTCTGGGCCTGGCCCTGGCCCTCTGAACTGCTTGTAACTGCTTGTACCTCTGTGAATTCCCACTACCTGCCCTCCCTCACAACTCCTGTCAGCTGGATGACAGCTGGATGGAGTGACAGGCACCTTTACCTTGCAAAGCTGCAGAGGTGTTTGTCAGGTAAAACAACATTTTTTGCTAAAGCCCACTTGGGTGCATTGGGCAGAAGGTGTTCCATATATTTAACAGACAACTCTGAAAATTATTATTTGCATCTTCAGGGGCATACTTCTTTCAAGAACATTTGAGTATGAAGCCAGGCCATGAGGATTTTCAGGGGTGACTGGCAGCAGTAACACCAGAGAGATGGATGTCTTCTTATGCATGTAGCTCTAGAATAATATGTTACTTTCTAGATTTTAATTAAAATACTGTGACTCTTAGATCACCTCTCAAGAGACAAGTACAAAGTGGAAGATTTTTATTTATGAAAAAAATGAAGAGAAACTATTTAAACTCAATTGAAGATTGAAAGCATTCCGCAAATCCTAGCAGGTTTCCATCAAAAGAAAAATATGCAAAGTAGCTAAGTGTTTCTTAAAAAAGAAAAGCATTTAATTAAGACCTGTATGTGCAGATTCTTAAATCTGCATACTACAGAGAATACTGCACAGTTCTGCATTGGGAAAGTCTACATACAGTGATGTCATACCAATGCAAAACAACATTGAATTCATTTCCCCCAGTGTCCTGAGAAAAGTAGGGGAGAGCTTTCCAACCTGTGCTGCAGACTGGGAAGCAAGACGCTTCTCAGGCATCCTGGCAGCTCCAGTCAGATCTGGGATTTCTCTTGGAAGAAAGAGGATGACTTGGCATAGATGTCTTGGACGGGGATGCTGKAAGAACTGAGCTGCATAAGTGGGAACCATTTGCCACTATGTTTTCCCAGGCCCTCTGTCCTCCTCCATCTTCATTTATTGCTCCCTCTAGTGCTTTTTTTTTCCTTTGCACTATCCTCTCAACTCCTAGGTCTGGGAAGCTTCCTCACTGGGACTTACAATGGAAAAGCCTACTCTGTAACACTGCTCCCTCAAGAAGATATAACCTACCCTGTCAAGACTCAAAATAAAGCACTAATCGTCATTGAGAAAGGTGCTCACAAGAGCTGTGAGATGGGCCCGTTCAAACCTCCTCTCTCCAGGCCTTTTTCTCTGGGTGGCACTGCCAGGATATGTCGAAGCTGCCTGACTCTGTCCTGCTAAACAAAGAAACCCCTCAGGCAGTGCAAGCTTCAGTGCTCTGTCCTGACGCTGCATGAAGTTAGTGGTTTTAAAACCTGAGCAACCTCCTACAGTAACACATATATATTGCTCCTCAAAACAGCAATTTCAATGCAGAGGAAAGGATCTGCTGTGAAATCTGAGTGAAAGAAGCTGGGCTCAGTGACACGCAAGAAGCAGCAACTCTCCATGGTCAGTTTATGAAAATTTTGTTAGTATTGGGTTCCTTGCCTTTGAACTCTGGGTTGGTTCAGTGTTTCCTTTGCTGCTTGAATCTCCTACTTTGGACAAATAATGTCAAATTCTATACAGAAACAATCAAACAAAGGAAGCAGCAACAAAATACATACAGTCCTGAAATTAGTTTTATAATATTTCTGGTGTGAATGTCTACCCTAAATCTCAGACATTCTTACAGCAGAGAAATCTTTCAGTAAGTTCCAAGATGTTACATTTTCACTTAACAGATGATTTATGTTGAGCAAATGTAATTATCCCTGTCCCTCCTACAAATAGAATTGGCTTATTCCTAACTGTCTCCTGCCAGCAGATCATTTGACTAGAATGACACTGACATTTCCCTAAAGATGAGTGGCATACAGGTTATGTGCAAGCACTTAAATTCTCGGAAGTAATTTAGGCCTAAGTAACTACAGCAGCTTGCTACCTATATATTTGTTGAAGACTGAGAAGTAAGTATCTCAACATTTCAAAATAAAATAATTATATTCATACTTTATGAGAGAACCTAGAATCCAAGGGTGCTGAGAGACATTTGAAGACGGAAGGATCTTACCTCGCAGAAATATGGTCCTTCAAATGTGAAATGCTTGCTACATTTATTAGGAGGTACTGTGCTTCATTCACAAGAGAGAGTGAGATACTTGTAGCAGGTGTTAGACCTTAAAAAGATCAATCCAACAATATCAAATGATGCTTAAAAATGAGGAAGATAATACTAGCAATTTCACCCTATCTTTCCTGTGACCTCTTATTCATTTTCATTATAAGAGTTTTTCATCAGGCTCCAGGCAGTAAGGAAAGATTCCAAGAATTCTCTCAAATTTGTAAATCATAATGATGTAATACATTTAGAAACTGTGATAGAGATGAGATTTTACCGATTTTGTAAAATAATTTATAAGAGCAATATCTATGGATGTTTTATGCTTTTTCAATTTGCTCCCTTTTATAATGAATTTCAGTGTAAGAATAATTTCATCGCTAATGGATTTTTCATGATCATTTCTCAAAATGATCATTGAATTTCCAGAGAGTATGATGGTAGTGATAATATATATACATAAAAAAACCCTGTATTGCCATACCTGTACACTTTTGCCAAGTCTAACAAATGGATGGGCATCTAAAAACAATTTTGAGTACCTCTGAATGCACCTTTTGAAGTCTAGCATATCAGTATCACACAACTCTTTCACCCCTTACCAATGAATTTTGTGTTCATATGAGGTCCATGAACCAATCTGATATTTTGTATTTACTAAGGAATCACATTCATTATTAAGAATGCCAACGTACCTTTTGCATTTTTCTGATGCTTATTGCTTTTTATGTCTGAACTTTGCCTTATCAAGCGACATGAACGACCAAGAAACGTAGATAACCAGCCAGCAATTCTCTCCCCGCAGTCGTATGTTTTTACCCTGTCACGAGAAAGGAGAGAATTAACAAACTTTGACTGTCAAAACATTAATTTGCAAAACTGAAGACAAGTAATGACATTTATTCTTTCAATACAAAATACTGAATCCATAGTGTCTAATGATTAGTAAAACAGAAATAGGAAGTTCTGCAAAATTGTATTTCCTAGATTTTGTCAACTTTAGAGTACTTACGGTCTTTAATAATTCAATATTTAATTTTACACATAGGAACAAGGAACTATATAACTGTAATGATAAAGACTGACTGTGATATAACTGGCGAAACTGGTAGCCCRTTTTATAACATTACAATACAGTATTACAGAAGATATTTTTTGGTTTTTAATTTTTACTCAGATAGTTAATTTGAGTTGAATTTATGACTGCCTCACTGTGCCACTCTACATATAATTTTTAATGAACCCATAAGGTACAATGATCTTCAATCCTTAATTTAACCCATGTTAATACAGACACTTCCRTATTAACTTTGAAGACCCAACATGGCTCTACTAAGAGAGCTCAAGTAGTATTTTTTTCCTAATGTAAGTATGGCTTCCTTTACTTTGTCCAGCAGTTTTTTCAAGGAAAATGCCAACAGCTCTTTCTCCTTTATTGGATGTAATCCCACTTAGAAGTATCTCCAGACAACCTCTCTCAGTTCAGGAAGGCTATGGATCAGTTTATGGGAATTAATCATATTCGCCATTAGCATCCTCAGCTCAAAATCATCATCACTTTTGTAGCGTAGAAATTAGGCATTTTGTTTAAGCTATTTTGCTGGGCTCCTCTCACAAATAGTGGGAAAAAAAATAAGTAGTAACCATCGATTTTAGACCTTAGGATGGACTGTCTCTCACTCAGGAAGTGTTTAGCTCTCTACTGACTACTAAAGGAGACTTGATTTCTAACTTTGAAAGGGCCAAAACGGTTAAGGAGAATGCTAATTTTTGTGCTTATCTAGGCAGGATTCCTGCAAAGGAAGTGAGACAGCTGTGGTCCTGGGCTCACCTTTTTATCCTACACAACCAAAGCAGCTCATCTGTATGGAGACCATCTGCTGTGTGAAACAAGGGAACACATGGGACACTCCTCACAGCAAGGGACACTGAGTGCTAACATGATGAGAGAAAGTTGCCCGGCCTTACAACAAGTTCTGTAGACTGAACTGAGTTACACGGGTGGAAAGCCAGATAAAGTGAAATCAAAGAGATTTTTCTAATCCTGCAGGGATCAGATCTCTCTTCAGCTGCTGTTCTGAATTCTGACTGGGGTGCAGCTCTGCAACTCCCTGGCCAGTCTGACACTGGACAGATGCCCAACACCTGCATCTGGCCAGTGATGTCCTTCAGCTGAAACAAAACACCCATATCATGAGATGTAAGCTCTGTGGTAAGAACTGGAGACAAAAATGAGACTTTACCATCTCTGATGAACACCTCTTGTGTCTTGCTGTCACAGAAACAGGGAGAAGGTGGCTGATGAGAACACAAAAATGAGCACATTTTCCATGCTACAGGTAAAACAAGTTCCCTCATATTCTTTTTTTCTCTGCCWGCCAGAGGCACTAGGGTATTTTGGTCTTCTCCTCAGCAACCTAGCTTTGMCAGCCTGGCAGGGCTTGATAATTTATAAATCAGAATCAAAATCTGGCCCTCTCTTTTGTTTGCTTACTGTTTCCAGTCACAATGGCTAAGCTTCAAAAACACTACATTTCATCCTTAGCATTTCATCAAAGGTCACTATGTAGCTTCTGCATTCTAGGCTTCCTAAGTTTTCAAATTGCTTTTCTTTATTGTCTGAACATTTTCCAAGTGAGGAACATTGTCTCTTCAATGTCTTTTTCTTCAAAGTCCTTCTGCTGTAGCTCAAATCCATTCATTCTGTACTTGCAGTTCTTTTCATTGAGCATTACTTTACATCTGTCAGCATTACATCTCATTTGGCACATGTCAGGCAATTTATAAAGGAGGACTTAGTTCTCTTGGATTTTACTTGCTGTCCTTTTTGAGTTTCCCACTCCTATTACTATTATGTCATTTAGCTTCASTGCTTTACAGCTGGTACCTCTAGCTAGGTAATTTGTAGAGTAAGAAACAAGGACAGCTAAAGAATGAATATTGATCCAAAGGAATATAAGACATTTACCCATAACAGGCTCAGTCCATCTTGTTTTTAACTATTATTTTGCCTACTTCTATCACTTKATGATACCCTCTTTATGATGCTGTGGCCTGTCATGGAGCAGGCTGTGTCCCTCTCTTATGCAGGGCAGCACTAACCCTGAGCTTTCGGGATCTTCTACAACATTGATAACTATAACACCACCAACTTTTACTTTCACCTGCCACTATTAGATATTATACTGGAGAGCCACATCCCTCCAGTGTGAGCAGCACCTGCTGAGAGCGAGCCCCTGTGAAGATGCAGACTAACACAAGTTGCCTCGTGCAGAGGAAGCCTGGGCTCATCCAACTCCTGTGACTGCTTGCAAATTAAACATCCTCGCATAAAAGCCTGCTGATTTCAGCTGCTCTGGAGTGGAAATCCAGAGTAATCGCCTAGGTCAAGGCAACAACGGATAYTGCATAGGTCCCACTGCTTCTCTTGGCCACTCTGCAGTAGAAAYCCCAGGCCAGAAATCATCTCTGCTACAGTAAGAGGATTTTATGCCCTTGTTTTCCACTTCTTGGCCCTGGAGGCTCCCCTGGKGCAAATTAGAGAACCTGTTGGATCTACGAGCCCTTTTGGAGACTYATTTATTTTGTCTGTATCTTCTGCCTTACTTCTTGCCTTGCTTATTAGCTAATCACAGTCCACCCTGTGTAGTTTGTCCTGTGTTTCCTCTTTATTTGCCATTTCCTTCTTTTCTTTCCCCCTCAGAACACTGAGTACTCTCCCATAAAGGCTTCCCATTTCAAACATTAAAAATGTTAGAGCCAGAGTCATGAAAGACAAGCTACAATAAACAGTGTGGCAACAAAGTGTAAGCAGTGAGAGAAAAAGATAACAGAGGGTATTTTACAGCAAGGCCTGTAAGAAACAGGCAAGCCATGGGGAGGCTAAGGATGGAGTCAACACTACAGAAGTGGGACAGATGGATAGAATAAATGACTCCTGAGTGATTTCCTCTACCTAGGGAAAATACATTTCCAAAGAAAAGATCCTCTTTATTACTAGAATACAGAAGGGTAATATCCTGACAAATAAAGTTTTTTTTAAAAAAAAGGCAACAAAAAATCCCCAAGAAGCATAAGTCTGCCCTCATGGTGAGTACATCATATGAATGTATCATGATGATGTAGATGTAGATGATGATGATCATATGAATCAGATGTAAAGTAATGCTCAATGAAATGATTATAGACATACTCTACAAATCGCATTCAGTGAATATGCTTCAGGTATGAAAAAAGCGGAAATTACTGGTGATAAATTAAACTCTTTCAGAAACCAAGTGAAAGATTCTCTACACTAAACAAAAACACTGGCAGAATAATTGTCCTTGTTGATTTTCAAGATGAATTTTGGGCAAAGAGATAACTTTCTTCTCTTTGCATCACTGGAATACAATTTCTGTGCAGTATGCCAAACTGTCAGAAGGAAAAGTTAACTCCCCAATGGCTCCATGGGAGAATGTCCAGATCTGATGCTGGTCCATATTCTATTGCCCTCAGAGAACAAAGTGTAGAGTTAGATAATAATAAATGTGTTGTTTCACACATCCAGCTTCAAGATGGTTAGGGAGACATAGTCAAAGCAAAATCTAAAAGACAGTAGTAGAACAGGKAAGTTGTTTATAACCTCAGTAAGTTTTAGAAAATTTGAACCAGTGTAGCATGAAAGGGGCAAAGTTGCCAGCATCATTGCTGTCAAATAAATTAACTGACATGTAGTGTTCTGCTGAGGCCTTCACTTGGCATTTGGAAGCACTGGGCAGTCTGTTCCTTTTCTCATCTTTACAGCAAGCAAAATGAAGCTCTCACCCTCCTGAATGCCAAATCATCACAGGCTCAGGTACCTGCCTCCCCACTTCTTAAAAATCATTATTATTTGCTCTTTCCTACCAAAGTTGTGGGCCTGCCCAATTACCTCCTTAAATCTGTCTTCTCCTTGTTCACTGAACAAGAAAACTTTTGTTATTTTACACCATCCCTTCTTTTTTTGAGGATTTCTGCCCATTCACTTTATCCAGTCATGTCCTGAGTGGCTGTGTAGTGATTTTCACCTTAGATTCTTCTCTGTTTTCACTCACCTGTGTGAACAGACTTTACTCTCACAGATCACAGCCTCTTTTCCAGGATTTTCTTCTAGTGATATAGATACCGGGTCCATGCCTAGATGGGCAGAGGGTGAATCACATGAAAAACAAAAATTATGCAAAACCAAAGGGTTATGAATAAGATGCCTAAATGTACACCTGTTCCCAATTCCAACAGTCTCCCAAATGAGAAATATCACAGAAATACTCTTCTTCCTAAAAACACGCTCTCTGCCTGCAGGTGGCTCCAAATGATAATGAAAAGAGCAAAGGCTGCTGCTGACATTGGTATYCAAACCACATTAACAAATACACAATTTCAGCTTTGAGTAACTTTCTTCTCTGTGCATCCCAGGTAATGGGGTTGACACAGAATTACTGCTTTAATCGAGGCAGCTGTGGGAAAGATGAGTTTATCACTGTTGTGGTATCCCTAGAAGATCAGGATAATCATCAGTTTAATCATTTTGGGAGGGGAAGGATAATGCAAACAGAAAGATGGGGGGGAAAAACAGAAAAATAAGCATAAGTTGTTTTAATGAAAGATATAACAATGTATCGGAAAATGACATAGATTAAGATAAAAAGAATGGAAATCCATTAACGAGATAACTATTCCCATYATCCATTTCAGAGTTTAAAGCAAATGATGAATTCCTAGTATTATCAGCTTCTTCTATAGTTTCTTATCTGGAACAGAATGAAGCAAAGGGATAAAAAGGCTTTCTCCGAGTTTATCACAAGGAGAAAGGAAAGCTGTACAGTGTTGTTTTTGTTAATTGAAAGCAATAATCTTAAATGACAAACCAGATTTTACTGTGTGGTTGCAATCAATCTCACTCTTTTCCATTATTCTACTACATAAACCATCAAAGACTCTATCTCCACTACCCCCGCTTCCCTGCTTTATATCAACACATTTTGTTTTCACTTATTATTTTCTTGTTTATACTACTGTAATATAAACAAGAGTTGAGCTCTGCAACCTGTACAGCGTGGTGAAAGAGAACTGCTTTATTCTCTTCTGAAGAGTAGCGAAACGTAGCTCAGACTCACTCTATCCCACCATCAGCTCTTGTCCACGAGTGCCTTCAAAATGGGAGGCCTGATATTAGCACACTCCGAAAGCATAGCTGGAGGAGGGGAAGGTAGGTTAGGGTGACAGAGCAGTGGAACAGGCTGCCCAGGGAGGTTGTGGAGTCTCCTACTCTGGAGGTCTTCCAAACCCACCTGGATGCCACCCTGKGCCACATGCTGTAGGTGTGCCTGCTTGAGCAGGAAGGTTGGACTAGATGATCTCTAGAGGTCCCTTCCAACCTTAAATATTCTGTGATTCTGTGATTCTGTGAGGTTCACTTAGGAAAATAAAACATGTAAATAATAGCCTTGTTGAACCGACTTGCAAAAACCTGAAAAAGAAGGCAAGGTAATCACCTTACAGACTACAACAACTGCTCCTGCACTTGCAAGCCTTTTCAAACAAACAAACACTAGCATCATGCTTTTTGCAAAAGAAAAATCTTTCTACTCTGTGAGGGTCCTTAGCAACTATAATTTTAAAAACAACTTCTAAACAAAGAATGCATGTAAGATTTATTAAGACAGAGTCTCAGGTCTTCACAATGCTTCATTTTACACACCAGGTAGCGTACCAAATTTCTGTTGTATAGTACACATTTTACAGAGGTGTTTAGGTCGGTTTAACATTGTTAATAGCAATTTTATTCTATCTTAAGGCCCAAAAAGAAAAAATAAAGAAGAATATTGCCAGTTCCTAAAATGTAAAAGTTGTCATTCTCCATGGTCATTTAGTCGATAATAAAATTCACAGATGTGATCATAGTATTATTATTAAAAAAAAATCTTGTCTTTATAGTTCCTATTTTCAGTCAATGAGAAAAATTAGAGGTTTGTTATTTCAATAGACTGAAATATAAACTATTCATGTATATTCTTTCATCAGCRTACGCACATAAATCCCATTAATTTTATTGGCAATAAGACATGACTATTGAAGGGAGAATAAATTCCATAAAGTGTAATTGGTTGCTCAGTTTTGTTAGCATCTTTCAACTCCCATATTTCAAAAGGACTTCACAATATTCTTTTTTTTTTCTCTCTGTGCTGTGGGAAACTAATTCACAGCTTGCCAGAGTAATGCTGATTGTTAGCTAAAATGGAAAGAGAGAAATTAGTCTTTTACAGGAATGTATTCTCAGCAAATTTCTGTTTGGGTTATTTTTGTGTAAGTCAAGAACAAGTCCAATGGGCTGTGCAGTGGGGAGCAGATTGTACCTTGAGATATACTGAAGACAGTAAGATTTCTCTTGATTCTCATTCAAGTAATACAGCTTTTGGAAATATCAGCACTTGCTCCTATCCTCTTTTAATTACTGGGAGTCACACCATTGAAGCAAGATTGAGTTGAGATATAAGGAACTATTTTGCTCCACGGATGCTTATTTAAAGTCATACTGGTCTTCTTTAAGTGAGTCCTGCTGTAGCAGGGATCATTGTAATCTTCATATCAAAATGAGTAAGAGATGCTGCTAATAGCCGCATGCAAAGCACAGGCAAATAAGATTTGCACATTGTATTTGCACGAGCAAATAAGATTTGACAAAATACAGAAATGGAGTTTCTTAAAATTAAGGATCCACTCCCTCCACTGAAGTAAAAAACATTCCCTGAGAAAAAAAACACAAGGTCTTCCTCTCCCTTTCCAGTCTATCCTTTTCCTCAGAAATCAGAGGAGTATCCGGAGCTCCCAGGTTATGATGAAAAGCAACTAATATTGTTGGCTTGGCAGAGACCATACACAAGCCCTGAAGCATTTCTGTCCCTGCCTAGCACCTCAGTTGGACTGTCCCTCACTAACCCCAAGGATGGCAGGATCACCCAGCGAGGTGCCTCAGACAGCTACGTCTGTCCATCTGAGGGTCAGATGGGCTGGACGTCCCACAGAAAGAGGTGGGAGAAAACTCCCACCTGGGAAAGACGCCTGCTAATATCGCTGAGGAAAGGCTGTTTGSGGGGGAGGCATCCAGTGCGCCTGAGAGAAAAGCACTGGAGGAGCCCTGGAGGTGACCRGAGTGCAACTCTGAGTACAGAAGCACAAAACCGAGCCCAGAAGCGGTACCAATCTGAAATACGACGAGCCAGTGGCAGCGGCCAGCGAGGGCTCCGAGCTGCCTGGCCCGGCAGCRGCTGCTGCTCCTCGCTGTGCTGCTCTGCTCGAGCTGCTCGCGGCACTCAGCCGCACACGYGAAATTAGCACCAAGCTCTCGACAGGCTGGAGAGGGCTGTGACAAAGGCATGAATGATTAACAGGAGGCTTCCAAGGAAAGGGTCAGCTGGGTGGATTAAATCATTCTGTGGCAGACCGACTTAAGTGGGAGACATAATAACAGCTCATATATCTGAAGGGATAAAAGAAAGAATAAAAATTTATTACAAACAAATAAATCATGAGTTTGGACTGCAGGTGAGAGAGGAAAAAAAAACTCAGAATAAATATTAGAACAGCTTCCTATTGATTTATCTGCTGACTCTTATCTGCCAGTTCATATATGCTCCCATCACTGTGCTACCTTATGAGCAGTATCCTCCAGAACAGCCTCTCCAAGCAAATGAGAGCCATTATCCCACTCTGAAGCATTAACAAATAACATGGATTGCAAATAGTGTATAAATATGAAAAATAGCAGTGCTGTTACAAAAAGAGGGCCCAGATCACCTTACTGGCTAGAATGATTGGTATCTAGGCCATATACGAAGAATAAAATGATCTTCCACTCCTGCATACTGGCAGTACCAAGGCTAGCYATAAATGCCAACCAAGTTTCTGTTAGAGCATGTGGGAGATCCTGTCACTCACCTTCAGATGGAAAAGTGATCTACAGACTTGATCAATCACTTCTGAGTGGAAATGGTTCCCACTTTCACATGAGGCAAGTTAAGTGACTGTGAAATCTCCAGTAATGACATGAAGTAAAATGTGGGATTTAAAGGTGAATTTCGCCCCACCACCAACCACGGCAAGGGACTGAACTGCCACTAAATCTCAGTGAGAAATGGGTGCCTTGACTGTTGTTTATGTCTGTGAAAGCTTCCTGGCTCTCTGAAGTATGTCAGTGCAGACATTATTGCCAAGCAATGGTACTAATGGATATGCGCTAACTTGAACAATGTGATACTAGCCAGGAAAAAAAAAAATGAAGAAAACAAACAGAAAACCAGAATGAAATATTCTAATGGCCCAAGAGATGTGAAGCTCAGAAAAAAAAAAAAAAAGGATGGTGATAGTTTAGACAACTTTAGGTACTGTATCCACAAGCAAGAGGCACAAGGAGAAAGGAAGTGAGATGGAAAGGAAATTAATTTATAGGAACAGTGAGTTCTAAAACAACTTTGTAGTTTAAATACTTTCAGAGTAGGCTGGCTATGAAACTGTACTACAAAAATTTGGGTTGAAATGCATTCCACTTTGAATTGAAATGAATCAACAGTAGCTTGTTAAAGCAAGAATGTAGAGAGAAGAGTGGGAAATGGCAGAGTTTGTGACAATAAGCCAATATAGAACCCAAAAAAAGAGAGTAGATTGTGTTTGGGATCTGAAACAAATACAAACTTGGTGGAGACTAGAGGAAGTAGCTGCAGATATGACAGACCTATTCCAAGTCACTGTGCAAAAGAAATCAGCTGGTCAGAATTCATTTTACAGAGAATGAACAGTGCTTGGAGGACAGCTGGAGGGGAGAACAAATTTAACATACAGAAAGGAGACCCTAGTTAGGGATCCACCAGAAACAGATCTGTAATGGAGTTCTAATAAGGGATGACAAATCCAACTGTTAAGTTCCCATGTTGTGCTCTAGCTGCTTAAATTATGGGCATATATATTATTAATRGTTAAGGAATACAGGCTGAGTAAAAGTTAGACCTCAGGGAAATGGTAAATATCATTCAACCACATATAAACTTGGTATTAATAATGACTTTTGTGGAATACAAGCCCATTCCACTGTTCAATGCTACCAGTAGAGATAAGAAAACAAAAAAAAACAAAACCAAATCCCGCTACCCTCCAGTATCAAGGGGCTTTCTGTAATGCTTTCYATAGGGACTTTTCTTCCCCATGAGAGAATAAAAAGAGTTCTCATGAATCCAGAAAAAAATTAAATATCTCCAAATATTTGCATGTATATTGTACATAATACTGCAAATATTAAACCGAGTTAGATAACATCTGGTCCTTATTTTAATTATATTAATTCCTACTAAAGACTCTGTCATAGTCCCACAGCTCCAGGAAGGAGGAGATCTATAAAACTGAAAGGTCTCTAAGCAGCACAGATGATGGCTATTCCTTCATCTTCCCAGAAAATTCCTTCACCTTCACAGCAGTAATACTCAATTCTCATTGCCGGACTTCCTTCGTGAGCTCAGGAGTAGAACAGTCAGGAGATTTCCACATCTATCAATTCATAATCTCTTCCCTGAGCATTCACTTTATGACTGCACGTGGGGAGTCACTATCTTCTCTCCAACCGCCTCTACAACACACCAGGGAACGACTCAGTGCTRTAACAGCCTGGCCTTCCTTACATGAAGTAGAATGAATTTATCCCCTATGTTGGCAGAGATGCACAACACCCAGTATTTTGGTAGGTAAACGAGCTCTGCGTTTGTAAAGTTGACACCAATAATGAAGGAGGAAACAAGGATATTATTCACAAACCTTCTGCCTGAATGATCATAATATTTTGCTTCAGATCAATCGAGGGATTTATAAGGCACAATCTCGGCTCCTGCTTCTGCGTTATGCAAACTCCATTTTGATTTACAACCATCCAGTTACGGTCATATAGCAAGCCTTGGTTTCCTACTGGCCATTCTGCAACCTAGAAAAGCATCAGGAGGAAATAAAAAGGTTGAGAGAATGTTAGTTGCATTAATAGGTTCAGGCTAGAAAGAAATGAGAAGGAAATTAAATTGGTAATGTAATACTTTGAAATCAGGAAAACATGTGCAGGCCAATGTCAGCTCTTATAATAGGGACCTTAATTATAAATCAAAGATAAAGATCTGACTGCAAGAACCTGACTAAACAAAATGGAGTTAGTGCAATTTGTTTATTAACCAACATTTAGATATTACATTTAATAGATTTATACAATACAGTAAATAGTCTATGAAATACTCTGAAAATTGTTCTCAATTTTGTTCTCAGTCATTTTTAGGGCCTCTCCTCCCAACAATTTAACTTTAATTTACAAAGCAAAACCTCTCCAAGACACACATATGAATGAAGCCAAACAAACAAATGAGGAAAAATCAAGGAAATTTTGAAATTCACTATTTTGAGAAAACACTTTTTATTCATAAAACTGGAAACACTTTATAAATGAATTAAATCAAGAAAACTTCCAACATTAAGCTTTCCAGTTTAATGGGCAGCACAATATTTTTTTAGGATCCTTTCCAGCAAAAACTTTTCTTTGCTACCTGTTTTTCCATTACTTTTCTAATGCTCTTTATATCCAAGAGTCTATATAACCATATTGTCATTGCTTTCATGTACATTTTTCTGGTGAAAAGAACAGCTGTTGCTGATGCTACACAGATGGTAATCTTGAAATACAAAAAGAGAACAATTTTATTAATGCCTTTGGACGATATTAATAACTGCTTTCTCCTTTAGAATGATAAAACACTATTCTTTTAGCAGAAAGATGGGCATTTAATCACAGTGCATGCATGCTTTCCAGTCCCAGTTGAATAAGGAGAAAAGTTAGCTACAGCTGAACCGTGATGAATCCTTCTGAAAGTTTATTACAAGGCTTAACGCAGGTCTCACGAGTTAGCTAGGAAAAGACTCCTAGAAAAAAATACTAAGCAACAAAAATAGGTCAAGAACAACCTGATGCTCTGAAGAAATGCCTAGCTTGAAGCACTGGAGTGATCCTAAGTAGAAGAATATTGTACCTCAAGGAGTTAGTGACTGCTTGGGTGTCCTTATTGGAAAGGGAAGCAGCATGTTCTCATGTGGAAATCCTTGCTTGATATGATGAACTGACTTGTTTTCTTCTAAGAAATACCTTTAAGAGCTGTAATGACCAAACAATGGTGCTTACCATAGACAATATCAGTGCAGCATGCCGTGTTCTCACCAAGAGGTCTATCTGGTGCTGTATTATCTCTGCGTTRCCAGCATCACAAAGCATGCAAAATTTAATAGCCAACTTTTTATTCTACTCTTAGGTATGAATATTCTGACTAAACCTCATATTAYACTTAAGAACCAAGAGGAAATTCTTTCTTACAGAGATCCAGAAAGAACCTACCTACCTGGTACACAACAAGCACAAGTTGGATTATTTTAAAATCACAATTCTGTTTCACATATGCTCTATCCTAAACCCCGTAAAATCTGCAAATTTCTGATTTTATAATCTTCTCTAGAATTTGCAAGGGTCCTCAGTAGTAGCTTGGGACTGACTGCTTACGTAGAGGAAACCAAGGGCAGGCAGTCAAAATGTTCTGGAATTAAAATTTTAAAGAATTGAAGTTGGACATAAAAATATAGCCCAAACTACTAATCTCTTCTATGTATTTTGGCCACAGGGCTATCAACTCTATGGAATACATAACATATATGGGAAAATTTTAAAGAAATGCATTTATCAACCTATTTGATTCACAATATTTTCAGCAGTTTTTGATGTGAGCTTAGATAAAAACTGCCCGTCAAAAGTGTTGCAGCATCATCTACAACAATGTTGTACTGATACCTCAAATGGTAAGTACCTAAAAGATGTCAACCTTTGCCCTGTATTTTCCCTAGGAGAAGAATCACAGCTCAAAGGCTGAGCAGGGGTGCTGTGTCAGTTGAAGGACAGACTTTGATTCTTTTCTGAAAATGTCCTTTCAATGCACCTGCATTTTTCAGTTATCCCGTGTAAGTACATTGGAAAATGCATTTGATCAGTCAGTGATCATCTGAGAGCTGCAAGAGTTGTTTATCAAAGAGTTTCCTTACAAAATAGAAGATCACGAATCAGTAATACATCTTTCCAGAAGATCTTCACAGCATTTGCAAGAGAAAGTGCAGAATAAACTAAAAGAGCAGAAAAACACTAAAAGATCCCTAAAGGCAGTGTTTTTCAKCTATCAATTATATCATTCAATTCTTACGGTTCCACTTTAGGACAGTAGTCTTTTTTGGGAAAACGTTTAAGTGTGTGCTTGGCTTTCCTTGAAGGTAATTGGTTTTATCAATAAAACAAAACTCTCTCTTTTTAATCAGAGCTTTAGATAGTTGCTATAGTTTGAAAAGGATCTGGGGAAAAATCCATCTGACTAGGTAGCGTATCTGGAAATAAAAAGCCCTTCCATTCAAAATGTCTTGATAGGCTCAAAACAAAGGCAACGACTCCAAGCTCCACTCTGAAATGCAGCACAGAACTGTAGGTCTTCAAACCATTTCYTCCCTTCCCCTGGGTATTTGCATTTATAACAAGAATGAAACACAAACATGACCAGCAGTGAGTCCTAAGCCTTTAATGGATGCTACTGGTACCTTAYTTCCTTTCTCTGTTTGAATTTTCAATATCTCTTATGTCATTAGGATCTCAATAAATGGAATTGCAACAACAAAAATGACTGCATACTTTGCCCTGAATAGAGAATTTTAAACTGTCTTGCAACAGCATGAGTTGTTTTGATGGTAATAAGATATAGAGATGAGTGTTGAAAACAGGAATTTCAGTTCTCCTTAATAATTAGGATTGTGGTCTAGAAAGACTCTCTCCCATCCTTATTTCTAAGAGGCTGAAGAGATTGTTGAATAACTGCAAGCTACTGAATGAATCCACTTCAAATGAAGTCTGCCTGCTCTGCTGGAATTCACTACTGTTCACCTGAAACACAAGAAAAATGGTTCAATCCAGCTGCCTTGGAGTACACCTGCGGTGTCTGTTCAGAGCAGGCAGATGTGGCACAGGCAGGTCCACCACGTCTTGGTGGACCAGCAGCTGAAGGAAAGCCAGGACTCACCAGGGCATCTCAGACGGCGCTAGGTACCTATGTTCAGGCAATCCATTAATTGAAGCACCCCAATTAGTGAAGCCTACTGCAAATTAAAGAGGTTAGTTCACATYACGGTCAGTAACACCAACCACACAGCTTCTAACTTGATTCTATGCAGTTGTCTGGCCATCTCTTACTACTGGGACAAATTAAGAGTGGAAGCACATTAAGAAGGCAAAGACACTACGAGCTGATCAACAGATGCCAGCACACACCTTCCATTCCTAGCACGGCAGGCAAATTAACTTCTTAAGGTGAGGTCTTCTCTGCCTGTCATGAGCAAGAACCACTGTACAGCACAACAAGTTCATGATATTGGCCCATCTTCTTTAATTCATTTCTTTTTTTTGTAAYGTGAAAAAAAATCATTGCAAAAATGTCTTTTTGTTATTTCAGAATTTTCTTAATTTTTGGGGACTGTTTTCTTCCCCCAYAGTTTACAGTAACACCACGATGAAGACTAATACAGTTTTGGAAGAAAATTACTGCACAGGCTTTAAATTACTCAAGTTTAAAAATGTTAGTGGCCTTATATACCATTTATCACTGATTACTAAAAATTTGTATCGTATTTTAAAGTGAAAGCTAATTTGTTTTATATGTCAAAATGCATTTTTTATACTTTGAAATCTACTRCAAGAATAATAAAGTTATGAATGTTTTAAGCCCTAACCTTTTTTACTGGGCTCCCTGCATTGCGTAATTATGCAAAATTCATGGATATGAGAGATGCTCATGTTTAAAACAATTTTTTATGTTGCAAAAGAATAAAAAATGGCCAGGGATAAAGGTTATTCCTCTTGGCTGCTTCTTTCCCTTAAACAACTGCAGGGAAACCAAATGAGAACATCCAAAAAAGTTCACCTAGAATATTTAGTCCTCTCATTCCTGTGCAGTATGGAGCACCACTGAATAGAAGATGGTCCCATTGCCAGCAACATTTTACAAAGCATGCATGCTGTAGAAGCTAACCAACCTGCAGTAAGCTGAAGATCTTCATGCAAAGCTTCATCCACCCAGCTGCCAAAGCACTCTGCACTCTCATTTTCTCTGGAGGTCAAGCACCTCCCATACTAAAGCACTTAGAGAAATCAGAGGTGTTTAGACGAGGAGAAGATTATGTGACTCTAAAGAGGAGATTAAACAGCTGTGAGTTTGTGTTCACATCCTTACCAAGCTCATCTTTCTGCTGCTAACCACGTTACGTATCTTGTGACCCGTAAGTCAGCAAGGAGACTTTACTGGCAATAGGTTGGGTTCTGCACACAGTTAGATGGAATTTTCCACTACATATTCTCTTTCAGACAAACACAAGTGATCACATACTTCCCAATGAAGTCTACTTACTATACACTCTAAAAGTCTGACCTACCGTTCAGTAGCAGGTCTCCCCTTGACSTTACCAATCCATGAGATTCTGATCTCAAGTATTCAAACATAGGCAGAATGGATTTACTGTATCTTATATCTAAAATATTTTTCATCTTTGCACATCAACTAGCATACAGCTATCTTAAAATAGATAAAAATGGAGATTGAAATTTTCATGGCAGAAAATATTTTTCTAACCTTTCACAATTTCAATGTGTTTTAAAGGTATATTAGATTTGAAATCTTTGCTGAATCAATCTAAATGAAGTCTAAGAGAACTAGAAGCTATGTGATTATTTCCATGAGTTATGATTTTATGAAAGTAAGGGAACAATACCATCATGTTAATCTGAAGTCTATATGATGCATACCATTATGAGACTAGCAAAGCAGTAATTTTCTAGATGATTAAGTCTTTTCATGATAGAGTCTAGAGAGGATGGAATAATCAGTTCTTAGAAAGGCAAAATGACTTTCAAGATCTGAGAACATTTAATTTGGTGAAAGTCKTCTCTAGCATGCTCTGCTTCAAACTTCAGGGAGGGTGACACTGGATATTTCCACTTCCAAGGTAACACAGGCTGAAGTTGCAGTAACAATACACAGAGTGTTGTGGATGGTGCTTCACTATGGAGTTAGTGATGATGTATGTTCTGGAAGTGATGGCTTTGAACTCTACTCTTAATCTGCAGGAAGAGACCAAGCTACTGCATGACTTAGAATGAGATTAACTGACTTCTAAAAGACTAGGGCTGCCAAAAGTATCTTTTCTGTTTTCTTTTGATTTGAAAACTAAAGAGATACAATACCTTATAAATTTCACCTTGTTTTAGAAACAAGCGTGGAAAACTAATTTCAATGCTCATTACAAAAGGTGAGCTAGGGGCTGCCGTTTTTACATCTACAGGCAGAAAATGAGATTGACAGATTTCCCAAAGGCTGGTTATAAATGTATGGCAGGTCTAGAATCGCCACTTAGCCTTCTGGAAACAGAAAACTGAGGAATGCCTGGTGGAGATCACAAACGGCAAATTGATTTTCTTGTGGAATTTTCTTCAATATAAAAAACCATGTAACATTSCAATACTTCCTCTACCTACTTTCATTCACAAGAGCATCACTGTCATGTTTTTTGGTGTCTCAGTTCTTCTGCTTATTCTGATTTCTTTTGTCCTGGTCCTTTCCCTCTATTGGCTCCTCAAAACTCCTCCTACAGAGGTATGTTAAGCAACTGGAATGGTATTCAATGAAATCCCAACCTTTTATTTCTCACTGTTTCCTTTCCGCTGTCACTGACAGTAATGTCACAGGTTTGAGACACTGAAGCACAAGAGTTTGAAGGTCATCTTGACCTCCTGCTTGCTTCTTGAGTTAATCTCCTGGACCACTCTCCTATACTGAACTCCTTACACATTGAAAACATCCTTCTTCATCACATTTGTTACACCAGCTCCTACCATTTCTTCATATGCAGTCATATCTCTTCTATGAGCTAAGAAGAAATGCACAAAAAAGTGTCTGAGGAGGAGGAAAATAGAACACTAATTATAACARACTTCTAGTCCAATCCATGCCATATATGAAGGCTAATATATTTTTAATTGTATTTTGTTCTTTGGCAGCAGAGACTCTTGACAGTGYTTAGCTCTGAGTTCTGCTGCTACTTCATTATCAAAAAATAGAAAATCAGAATAAACTAGAATTCAAAATGATTCTAATCATGCAAAACTAAATCTCACAATATGGTTGTGATTTTAACATTTATATTTTTAAAGGTAGTCATATCATCTAATATTAGCTGCCTAATTCAAGTTGCTCAAGATCCCTCTTAAAATCAACGAATAGTGAAAAGAATAGTCAGGAACAATTCATCTTACCTATTGTAGATGCCTCTTTTATGATAAGATGAATTAGCAGGTATCCATTGGTCACTGCTTTCAGATTAATACTTCACTTTGGAAGGACATGTTTAGGTAAATTGAACCCTGTGTTCAAGATGGTGCTTGGCACAAGAAGCGTGCATAGGGAACGGGGATTTTCCTCCTCTGTATAGAGGCATAGTTCTGCCTGTCAGGGAGTACCAGGTCTGTGTGAATTTATCATCTAAAGTGGTTTCTCCTCTCAGAGCTTGAAGAGAAGAAATCTGTCTCAATTTGTGGGGAAACATAAGCTGTATCATTCACGCTAGGTACTCCTTACCTGCTCCTGGGCACCATCACTTCAAAGACTTCCTAGCCCTGACTGTTGTGGCATATGTCTCATAATACCAGGCGTCAGGTTAAAAATAGAATTTAAGCCCAAAGGGGCCTGGATACTGCTACAAGAGATTTCAGCAGCTTCTGCAGTGGTCCTCTGTAACACAGCTAAAAATCTGCAACACTTGGATGGAGGTTAGAACATCCTCAGATTAAATGTGGGATTACTTCAGTTTTCTAAACAATTGTGGAAGTTGTTTAGATCTCATTTGATGCTGAAGATTGTGAATTAAAGACCTTGTAAACAAAACCAAGTTTAAATACACRGACAGTTTGCTAGTCATTCAGTATTCTCTGCTTTAATTCCTCAGCCATTTTTTGTATTAAGAAAAAAATCATGATCAAATCAGCTGAGAAGCTGTACTTTAAATGCAGGTAATTTGTCCGTGAATTTGACCTCAATTTTAAGTCAGATGTGCAACAGTGACCTGCACCAACAACTTTTTATGGGGAAAGTTATACTGTTATTGACATTCATTAAATCACTTCCCAGTATGGTACTAAGTAGAGGCACAGTCTAGGTCAAGGTACAGACCATACACCTACTTCATCGTGCATTATTTGCTTAAAAAAACCCTCACAGCTAAGGTGACGATATTATTAACTTGGCAGAAAAGCAATTAAAATCTTCAAAGAGTGAACTTTCAAATASTGCAGCAACACTTAAATGTCATATTTCTGTTGCAAATGTATTTTTAATGATAACATTTCTTTGTAATGTAAATCAGCCTCCTCTCAATTATAACATGTTAATCAAGTTATTTCTCAATTGCTGCCTACCCATCAATGCCTACAAGTCCATCACATGTCATTTTGTAAAAGCATACTAATTACTTGATTATATTTTAGTCAAGTTTTGCAAATCCAACTGTATTTTTTTCAAGACTGCGTATTATGTGCAGATTTTTCTGTTTGGGGAGGGTAGAGATAATGCAACACATCTACATCCTGTAACTTTGAAAATCCTAAGTAATCCTAACCAAAAATCCCTCGAAGCATGCAGGAACTTTGAGAAAAGGAGTGTTTCTAATCAAGAAAAATGGGTACCCCCATACTGTATCCAAGTATCTGCTCTTGCTGTTCCTGGTTGCTGGGTATGACAGGAGCCGGGAGAGAAAAAACAAACAAACAAACAAACAAACAAACAAACAAAACCCCTGAAGTTGTGGTGAATATTTAAGAATAATTTAAGGTGAATACCTCAAATGCAGAGCATGACTTGATTGGATACAGGTAAATGTTGGTGACAGTAATGGGTTTGCCACCTCTTCTCCACGTCGGTACTGCTGTCTCAGAAACAGCTGCCCTTATGCTCTCCGTCTCGGTCCCCTGTGGCTGCCACTTGACAGTCTTCACTGCTGCAGGTGAACTATCCCAGAGGTCTCTGTCTAAGATGTGCATTCTTGGAGCCAATTTATTTGCGTTGTTACAGGAGGAGTAGTCATCCTGAACTGGAGATTTGACAGATTCTGTTGGCAGCTTTGTAACAGAGGACTGGAAGGGAACTGCAGTGTCTGACTTGGAGAACCTGGTGGCTATGATAAATTTCAGAAAGCTCTGTGCATCTTCAAAAGTAGACATGTACCCAAATGATATTCTCACAGAACCAGTGGGCCGTCCATCAATCACATCTACATCATCTCCACATACATGGCCCGCCTAATTTAAAAAAGAAAGAAAACCAGGGAGCTATTAGTACAGACACTGCTATATTTATGCCCCTTGTTTTACATATTTCTCACCAGTCTGTTAATTTTAGCCTGAAGAACTGCTTTCAAATATATACCGTAAAGCCTTGAAAATAAAGAGACAATGTAGAAAAAAATCAAAACTGTCTTACTCAAGCTGGGAGGAAGATAGTTTTGAGATACTTGTCTTGCTCTACCCTAAGGCAAAAGAAACTGCTCGAACTCCAGTAGTAAGATTCAGAAAAAAAAAAAAAAAAAAAAAAAAAAAAAAAAAAAACCCTCTGCATAGACCAGACTGCCTGGCTGCAAGGTCAGTCTCAGGGTCCAGTCTCAGTTCACTGAGATTTTAACTGGAATATTATGTTCAGACATGTAAGGCTGCTGATTCTGGGGGAGCAGATTTATTAATCTTCCCTGTTGGAACTGTCCCACTATATATAACCAGTGGATTATTCCCATCTTTTGTGACACAGTCTAATGGATGGCTGTACACCTAGGAACTTGCCTGTAGTATTAGCAAAGCAGAGCCTTGAATCTAGGACTCTAACACCCAGAGCAACTTCCCTGGTCCTTGAGACATGCAGTAAATAAGCGTCACTGATCCAGTCAATATGGTTCTTTCAGGATGGACAGAACTGCTTTTTCCCCTAATATTTTTATCTTTGAAAAACACAGATTTCAACTCATGAAAAAGTTTTGGTTGACAAATCTCTCAAATACCACATTTTGTTCTTCACTACCCAGGTCAGAGAATGCTGCTACTCACCTGCACCAGGACAAGCTATTGAGCCTCTCTGATGACCACCAAACATGAGCTCATTAATGAACACAAGACTTACTCCTAAGCTAGCATCCTTATTCATGTAAATACCTGAGCAGCTTTTCTGTTGTTGTTGTTGCTTCCCTTAAGATTTCTTTTATTTATGTGCTATATAAAACCAGAAGTGTGATAGATTATTTACGCAAGGGCTTTTTTAAGCAAGCAGTGTCATAGTTCAGTGAACACAACTCCCATTTATGCGAAGAGAAAAAAAAAATGTGTCGAAGTATGAAATACAGCATTAAATATTTTGATGCAGTGTGATGTAATTTTTACCCTCAACAACAGAGCAGAATCAACATTTACCAAATTAGACTGCATCTCTTAATATGCATGTAACCTTTCTGCTAGGTATTGACTTACTGAGTGACTGACTGAGAAGAGAGGTTCCTGCTGTTTAAGTAAATAAATTGGTTCCTGCTCAAAATCCTAAGGAAACTAACTGTATTTCTCCATGGACTCTTGAGGAAAGAAAATCCTCACTCACAAGCAGTTTGAAACTGATAACAGAACGTGGAAATCTTCATTAGAGATGGAAGAATGTGGCTGGCAACCTGGGAAGATGCCAAAAACCAAAGTATATGTTCAAGTAATAGGGAAAAAAAAAAAAAAAAGATGCATTCCCTATGCAGTAGTGTTGTCAGTAAGTCATTTACATCTTTCTCAAAGGACCAGTGAGATGTCCCAAAATGACAGCCGCTTGCCTGCCTTACCTCATCAGACCTCCTTTGGCAGGTAAAAGTGTCTCTCTATAGGTTTGGGCTTGGCCTGTTCTAATTTAAAGGTTTAGCTTCATTACCAGGCAGATACAGGCCTACAAAGACCCATGCAGTCCTCTGCAAAATCCTGTTCATAACAGATGATCCAGGAAAGTGGTGGTGCTTTTCTTTTGAAGTTTTTCTCCTTAACAGGAAGGAGCATTGCTCATCTGTTCTTAAATGGATTATGCAAGAACCAGCTATGGAGCTTTACATGTATAATGAAAGCACCGTTCTGTCAAGGGAGGTAATAGAGAGCTCTTCCCCAATCTAAGGACCTGGGCTATCAGTCTTCTATATTTATTTGCAAATTTATCTAATTGTCTCCATAAAATTGTAAGGGAATTGTAATATCTCTACAGTCATTATCATTTTGCATCTTTTGAAGAATACTGTTAGCACAGTTTTGAGTTGTACTGTATTCATTTGTGGTAATTCTAAGCTTTAATAAATATACACATATGAGGCCTCCCCCACTTTACTGTACATATCTTTGAATGACAATTCATGGAAAATATTCATCATCAGGATGCAGACAGAAAACAGTCTTCACATTCTAAGAGTCTAACAAACTAGTAATCTAGGTAGACATGTTATCTACGTGTTCAATTTCCCACAATGTACTTTGCTGCCAGAGATTCACAGCTTGTTTGTATGCATTGTTTCTTGTCCAATTTGTGCATGCCTTTTAGCCTATAATGTCCGAGAGGAATACCTCTATTCTATACTTAAGGAACAACATGAGTTAAATTGTCCAGGAACTTCTCTTCTGTAGGAAGTCTTCATTTTATGTAATTGTAAATCACAACAAGAAGCTGTAAATTTCTGATGAAATAAAAAGAAACAGCACATACTGTTTTTGGACCATCATATGATTTTGTCTCAACACCTCATTTCAATGAACTCAAGTTCATTTATTTCTTTAACATGCCAACTGAGCTGAAAGATCAGAAAAATCTTGCATTCATTCTGTAAGCTGCAGAGATTCAAAAGGCCATGATATGCCTACTTTATCTTATAACTACTTAGGTATTTTTGACAGAGGGCCAGACTGCCTTCTCTCCTTCAACCATTCCAGTCATCAACAATTCCCTGGGTCACTGAGTTTAGACCTTCTCTATAGGAAACATACCATGTAATCTCATTCAAAAACTAACCTGCAGGTTTCTTCGGATGTCCTCATTGCTTATACCTAAGTGCATCTGGCAGGCTCCTGTGTTACAGAAGCAACCTGTGCGGAGATGTATGTTGTAGAGACTGGCCATCTTGTCCACCTTCCCAATTCAGCAGCACATAAAGACACAGGAGAAGAAAGAGATGAATTTTAAAATTGCTGTAAACAACACAGAATGTCTTAAAGGTACAAATAAATTTGAGCTAAATTTCCACTCTAAATATTAGTAGATTGCTTGCAGCTGTTAGCATTCCAATAAACAGTGAGGATTTTTCACCTTCGCYATTTCAGCTAAAAGAATGATGGAAGCACAAATAATTTTTTAGCACAAAAAACCTTACACTGTACCATATATGTACACACACACATGCACACGTAGAGCAGGCCATGATCCTGYGTAATTAAGCACCTACTGATAGTATAGTGCTTAATTTTAAACCCCTTAGGAGGTGCATTCACATCACCAGGGCAAATTTCAGTTGTGTTATTCAGTGTTCGGACAGGTCAGTGACTGAAACTGCCTCTGCAGGGGGAGAAGAAGACCAGGTATCTCTTTGGTTAGCTAAATGAAACCCTGTTCATTTATCTGAGGATCAGTGAATAGGGTTTCAGGGAATCAGGGTTCACTGAATCAGGGAACTCTGRGGATCTGAAACTCTAAGTCCTCACTATAGAAAATTATGTGAGGGTATGAAACACATGTGCAAGAAGAGCAGAAGCACACATCTATATGTGCCTCAGAAGAAGAAATATCTATGCATGCACTGGAAGGCTGGCATTGCAGAGTTGAAATGGGGATGGTCAGAGTTTCCCAGCACAGCTAAGAAACCATGAAAGCATGCTGAAGGGATCTGCAAACTCTTTTTGCTGATTTCAAAGAGTAGCAAGAGCAACTGAGCAGGTTAACTGAGCAAGTACAGCTTTTACATTATTTTTTTTGACCATACGCAACTGAGTTCCAGTCTAGACTGGAGAAAAAGGATGGCCAAATGATCAGAAAGGTAGAGTGAAGCTGGGCACATCCTCTCTGTGCCACAGATTTCTAGAAGAACCTCAAACAAGCTTCATTAATCTCTGCTGGCTTCAGCTCCTCTGCTGCAAAGTGGAGAARGTGGAGCTCCTGAGAAACATCCTGCAGAGTGAGAGCGAGGACTCAGGTACCCCAGTAACACTGGCCTCACCTGCTCCACTTGACACCAGATTCACGTGAAACGCCTTTGATAGAAATCTCAGYTTACACCTGAAGGAATGGAAGTGCTGATCATTTCAAAGCAATCACTTTCCTAACTATGGCAGGAAGCATGTTTTACCTGTTAAAGGTTTCAATGTGAACACACAACCAAGTATTTCTAGCTCTCTTAATCTCTACTGCCTCCTTCCTTCCTTCCTTCCTTCCTTCCTTCCTTCCTTCCTTCCTTCCTTCCTTCCTTCCTTCCTT